CTGTCTTAACCTTTTGGTAAATAACTCTACCAACTTTGGGTATTTTTTAGAATAGGTGTAGACTGGTGCTTGGCCTAGGCTTTCTTTCCTTGAGAACGCATGCCTGATCAATTGTGGATTTTTTCGTGTGTTGCTTGTGGAGAACAGTAACTGACAGAGTGCATGTTTGGTACTGCCTGGTTGAATATTTATTTTTTTCATTTTGAGAAGGGACTCGCTTATCCTGCTTGTTGATAATGGAGTGAGACTTTTACTTGTCATGAGCTTGGGTTTTAAATTGCATGTTTGCTTGGGTGAACTCGACTAGCCACGTTTGATATGTATCTTGCACGTGCTGATTTTATTTCGCTTCTTCCCACTCTTTTGTGTGCAGGTGTTCACTGTTTTGCCAAGAGTTGCCATGACGTCTATTAATCCATCATCCGTCATCAGGGATCATCTTTACTCCACGGATGACAGGTTAAAGAGAGGGAGGCCCCCTCCTTTGCTTAAAGGCACCGATGAGGACATAATTATTGATGGAGAGCCAGTGCCCCAGATGACTCCAATAATTGATCCTGCATCCGTATCAAGGTGTTGTATAGAGAGAGGCCTATTTCCAGCAGTCCCCTTGTTCTTTCAATATCCATGCGGCACCAGCAAGGGTTGGTCAAAGTGGGTTGATTGAGAGTAGAAGAATCCATCTACCTGTGACATCCTAAGCCGGGCAGGGGTGCTGGATGCCGTCTTTATTTCTAAGGCTTGTGACATCCATATTGAAGCCTGGATGCTTCGACACGTAGTTAGGCGATGGAGTACTGAGACACATACCTTTATTTGTTCATGGGGAGAGTTTACCCCCACGCTTGATGATGTAGCCACCATTTTCCACCTTCCACTCTGCGGCCGCCAAGATCCCTTCCACATTGCACTAACGCCGGAGGATAAACTAAAGCTTGAGGCCTTACGGAAGGGTGCCCCGACTTCTCCTAGTACTTCTCTGAGGTTCAGCAATTGGATTCAGTTTTTTGGGGATGGTAACTGAGATGAACCGTGTCGTCTTGCTGCATTTGTATCATTATGGCTTGGGAGATTCCTCTTTTGTGATTTTTCCCAAGACTGCTTGCACGAAAGGATATTTCCATTGGCCTTGGCAATAGCACGGGATAGCATGATTCCTCTAGCCCCCATGTTCTTGGGGCATCTATACCGATTGCTCGATCAGATTCAGTTTCTTGAGGAAGGGACGGCAGTAACTATGGCTGTGGAGACTTTTGTGAATTCTAGCTTCCTGCAAACCTTCTTATGGGAGCGCTTCAAAGGTATAGAGGTGTCTCCACTTCCGTATCCAAAGGCTAAATCACTTGTTGATTCCGACGCGGGTTCTTATATGCCGGATAATCTCCCCTTGATATGTAGATGGTCTCGTAGGATGCAAAGAAAGGGCCAAAATTTTTTAAAGTTGCTGGATGATGTTGAGCAATTTATCTTCCGTCCCTATTGTGCTTTATCAGAGGGATTTAGAAGTATACCCCTCTATGCTTATTCTGATGTTTTAATCGAGGCCTTGGCCATGCCAACACAAGGTTGTCGGTTACGTAGAGAGGCATTGTTAAGTGCTGCATGCCTTCCTTTGCCCACATTTGGTGATGATCACTCAGAGGTTTCTGTGCATTATTCCCCTTACCGGGTCAGACGACAGCTTGGGTTTGACCAAGGCATGCCTTCCCGTCTCAACCATGGAGATTCCTTGACCTTGCACAGGGTTTTTTTGGACTGGAGACAGTGTGCCGGGAGACGGCAGACCTCTTGCCCTTGCTTTGGCTAGCCGGCAGTGTGTTGGTAGTCTCTCAAAGGCCTACCAAAATTATTGGAACCGCTGCTTTGCCTTATTTAGCCGATTCCATGCTGCCCATTGTGACAGATTGATTCCTACCATCATTTATCATGCCCGCTTAGTGTCGGAAGAGAAAGCAATTTCCTTGAGTGAGAAACAGAATCTGCCTTTTACTTCCAAAAGCAGAGAGATTGTTGGTGATTTTTCGAAGCTAAAGCGGAAGTTAGAGAAATTGGGTTCTCATAGCACCGGAAAAAGTGCTGCACATGGGAAACAGAAGCGAGAGGAAAGTTGCAGCGTCGAGAAAAGGCAAGTTGTAAAAGGACCAAAAATGTTCATCCCCAAGGTAGCAGCAAGTGGTCCTTCTAGCTCAAGAAAAGTTGCCTTGCCATAGCCTTTACCGCAGCAGCAGCCTGTAGCTTCCGACAGCAACAGGCAAGCAGCACCAAGGGCTTCGTCTCCTCGCAGTGAGTCTTGTCATTTGTTTGCTCCCTTTTGTTTCCCTCTTTATATATATATATATATATAAGTATACCTTTTATTTTATTATATAGGTACTTCCCAAAATAAAGGCAAGGGTAAGGAAGTTCCTGTGATCCCGAAGCGTCGAAGCATGCGCATTCTCGAAACACGGTTTGCTAATACCCATAGGAACAAAGGTGAGACTCGGGACCCAAAGTAGTGGTAACGGTTGATGATAATAGTGATGATGATAGCGATGACAGTGGTGCTGCGGAGACTGAGATTAGCATCCATGAGCAAGAGAGCACTCACAATACAAGTGGCATGGATGAGGATCTTGATGAAGACCAATACTATAGTCATGATGAAGACACATATCCGGACTTTGGCACTAACTTGTTGGAGCCCGACGCCTCAGATACACCTCATGCTTTGGCTAGTGACCATGGGCAGCGCGTTGACATTGAATTGGTATCAAATGACCCTCCTGCTTGTTCTACTTGGCATATTGACATTGCATACTGCTCATTGTATCCCATAGTTCATACTTTGTTTTTCTCCTGCAGGTCGTGCCCACCATTGAAGACACAACAGGTGCCTCATCAGAGGCTGGTTTTGCATTCCCCGCTACTGTTGCTGATGTTGTCCTAAGCCTTTCGGCAGTGCAGCCTCATTCTTTTCCTAACCTAGGCACTCCTGACATGGCTGCCGACGCCTCTCTGCCACTTCCAGCAGTTCCTCCTTCTATTTCTCCAATCCCGAGCACACCTGACATAGCTACCAGCACCTATCCGGCACTTCTAGTAGTTCTTCCCCCTACTTCTCCAATCCCGAGCACACCTGACATAACTGCTAGCACCTCTCCGCCACTTCCAGCAGTTCTCCTCCTGCTTCTCCAATCCCGAGCACACCTGAGATAGCTGCCGGCATCGTTCCACTTCTTCCAGCAGTACTACCTTCTACTCCTCCTATCCTAGGTACACCTGACATGGCTGCCGGCGCCTTTCTGCCACTTCCAGCAGCACAACCTTTTGTTGAGATTATTGATAATAGTCATAAGAATGGTGATGCTTTTATCACAGGTTCCTCCAAAGGGCATTCATCCGAGATTGGGAAAATTCCTACATGGCATTCAAAGCCTTTTTTGATGGCGGTGTCACCATTCTTAGATCCATTGATGAGCTTCTTCCGCTTTGCCACAGATTCGATGGTTATGTGACATTCCAAGGTGCCCTCGTGTATCCAGAGACGGTTGAGGCTTGAAAAGGTTCATGGACAAATACGGAGGTTTGATGGAAGCTACAGATGTCACTTCCTCCTTCTCAAGGTGCACTGCCCTCCGAGCCCTTAGCTTAGTACTTCATGGGATGGACACCATGCAACTCCTTGATATTACGGACCACAAACTACTCTGTTGGTGAGATGCAATATGTGAGGCCATGATTCTGGGCTTTCGCGTGGAATTTCTGCTCAAACTAGTGAAGAACCTAGCACGTGCCGTCTTTGGAGCACAGGCCATTCATAGTATGCAATTATCGCATGATTCTGATGAAGTAAAAGCTGCTGCAGATGCCTTGAATATTAAACAGTAGGAATTGGAGAACCAGCGCCGGGAGATGCATGCCCTCCTTCTTGCTAAGGGTATTTCTGTGGACAGTGCTGAGTGCATGACGGAGGCAGCGGCCAGATTATCTCCTGGGGCTTCCTTTGTTCTTTTCGGACATTCCCCATAGCTTCAAGGTACTCAGCTCATTCATCATTTTTTTTTATCACGTTACATCTTCCAGCAACAGCTATTTTTGACACACATCCTTTTTTTTGTTTTTTTTTTGTTTTTGGTTGCAGATTGTCTATCCTTGGCTTGGTAACCAGTTGACTTGGCGCATGACTCTACTTTCTTCGTGACTTAAGGACGCATGAACCTTCAGCATGTGTAGTTTTATTTTGCTTTGTTTGTAGTGTTTTTTTTTTTTTTCTTTTGAGACTCTAACGACAACATTGTTATACCTTTGTAATTTGATATTAAACTACTGAAGCTTGCATGAATTTTCGAATGCTTGAGACATGTTGCATGTCTCATATATATATATATGTTCTGCTTTGTTGGCAAGATTTGTCTTTGTGGACTGCTTGAAATTTTCTGACAAGTTGGACATCATTGAAAACAGGGTACATGCTGCCGAAATTTTGACAGGAGCAGAATTTCGAAAGTTTCTTTCGCATGGTTTATCTAAATTCTAATTTTGACAAAATAGCTTAGCACCTTGCCCAAAGGGTCAAGCTAATATGTGCATGATTTTCTACTCAGGCTTTGTAAAGCTTCCAGGTGTTGTATCGTGTTGTTCTAACACCTCAAAATTGCATGTCCTTTCGCAATACGCCTTATGCTATTATTATTATTTTTTTGCTTAAGCGTGATGCTTGGGGACCCCATCTAAGTGACTTTGCCCAGCATGTCTCACTACTAAGTGGCATATATATATATATTTTTTTATATATAAAGAAAATTTGAGAAAGTGTAAATAACAATAAAAATTTTGGAGACACAATAATTTTTTTTTTTCAAAATGTTCCTTCATTCTCATTGCAAAGCCCTTGCTACCATAATGGTGCATCATACAAAAGTGTTTTTTTTTCTTTTCAAATCATGAAAATAAGATAAAAGGAATTTATATTTTTTTTTACAGAGGGAAAATATAAAAGTACTAGGCATAAAGTTAACTTAGCAGTAGTAGAGCTTGAGCCACTTCCCATTGACGGGGTCTGTCAACGTGCCTTCTTTGATAGAGACCAAGCGATAATAGCCGCTGCTGTAAACTTCCTTGACTGCGAATGGGCCCTCCCATTGCGGGGCAAACTTGAAAAGTCCCGACACTTGTCTCCTTACATGCTCCACAACTTTTAGCACGAGGTCTCCTTGCTTGAAAGATCGAGGTTTAACTGTCCTGTTGTAAGCTTGGGTTACAGTTTTGTGGTACAATGCTGTCCTTCTTTCGACGTCCGCTCTTTTTTCATCCAAATCTTCAAGGTCCAGCAGGCGCCAATCTGAGCATGACTTTGTATCCCACTCGAGGTCGTTAATAGCTGATACTCTGGCAATAAGAATGGTAATCTCTACTGGTGAAATGGCATCGGATTCGTACACAAGTGAATAAGGCGAGAAACATGTGGCACTTCTTGGAGAGGTGCGGTAGGCCCATAAAGCATCTGGCAGGTGAACACTCCAACCTCCTTCATACTTATAGACCATTTTGCTTAGGATCCTTAATAAAGTTTTGTTCGTGGCTTCCGCTTGACCATTTTCTTGTGGGTAATAGGGCATGGAGCGATGATGCTTGATGCCATAACCACTAAGTGTCGAGCTTACTTGCTTATTGACAAATGGGGTGCCATTGTCGGTGACAATCTTATATGGGATCCCAAATCTACATACGATATATTCACGGATGAAATTGGCGATGGCAGCCCCCGTGGCTTTTCGCAGAGGAACCGCCTCAACCCACTTTGTGAAATATTCGGTGGCTGTGAGGATCCATATGTAGCCGTTGGATGGTGGATGCATAGTCCCGATCAACTCAAGCCCCCAAGTATGAAAGGGCCAAGGAGTGCGCATGTCCTGCAGCAGCATGGGAGGCTTGTGACTTAAGTTAGCATGAACTTGGCATGTGTGGCACCTCTTCACAAAGTCGTATACATCATTCTTCATTTTATGCCAATAATACCCAACACTCAGTAGCTGCCGGTAAAGCCTCTTCATTCCTTGATGCTCACCACATTCTCCAGCATGAATCTCTTGCATGACTTGCTTTGCTTCTGACTTTCCCAAGCATTTTAATGGCTCACCATTAAACCCCTTGCGGTAGAGAGTCGACCCATCTATGAAGTATCTTTTCATTGTCCTTTTGAGCTTGCATGCATGCTTGGGATTGGTTGGCAAGACTCCATTGATGAAGGAGGCCAAGTATGGAGCCCTCCAATCCTCTGCAAAAGAGATGGTGAATGATTCCTCGGTGGAGGGTATCTTTGCACACTTGGGACAATTGGCTTGCATTTCAGCTGCTTGTTTCCTCATTTCTGGCCAGTAATAACCCTTGCGTTGCAGGCGCCGATACAAGCTGATTATTGGCTCCAAATTGCAAGTAACCTCACGTACCTCTTGAAGCTTCTCATGTGCTTCTATTGTCCCTATGCAGCGGGTCAAAATACCTCCCGGAAGGCATCTGTACAGTTCTCCAAAGATGATCGCATAATCCTTCAATTCTTTGATGTCACTTCCTTTGCCTATTTTTTTCTTTCACATGCTTCCTCCAGTCATCCTCTTCCAGCTGCTTCTCTTGAGCCATTGCTTCAATAACCGGCGTGTCTTTCTTGATTACTGCAATATTGGGCTGTTCTTCAACAAATGAGAGTCTCGATCCCAAAGTGCCCAATGCATCAGCATATCTATTAGTAACCCCCGGGATATGTTCTAACACAACTTGTTTGAAAGAACAAACAAGCCTTTCAGCAGCTGTACAATACGGCACCAATGCTAGCTCCTTCACAGCGAAATTTCCTTGTAATTGACTCAGCACCAGGTTTGAGTCCCCAATAATTTTAATTCTTTCGACACCCATTTCCCTTGCCGTAGACATCCCTGCAATAAAAGCTTCGTACTCCGCCGTATTATTTGTGCATGGGAAATTTAGCTTAAATGAGAGGGTCGTGGCTTGCCCCTCAGAATTGACAAGCACTACACCTGCTCCTCCACCCTTCGATGTAGAAGACCCATTAAAGTAGAGGGTCCACGGTTCCGCCTCTGTGACTACATCAACTATTTCTGGCAGCTCCCCCAGAACTTCCTTAGAGATTGTTGATTCTTCAACTTCGGGAAATAGAGCCAGCATATCAATCATGGCCTGTCCTTTGATGGCTTTTGGGGTGGTGCAGGTGATATCAAACTAGGACAGTTGTAGCAACCAACGTGCAAGATGTCCAGATAACACCGGTCTTGTGAGCAAATATCTTACGGGATCAGACTTTACTATAAGATGTAGCTTGTGAGCAAGGAAGTAATGCCACAAGCGCTGTGCAGCATAGACAAGAGCAAGGCACAAGAGTTTGGTCTTCGAATATCTCATTTCAGCTCCCCTTAGTTGCCTACTTACGTAATAAATAGGACTTTCTTCCCCGCTGCGATCATCTTGAGCAAGCAAAGCCCCCACCGCTATGTTTGTTGCAGCCAAATAAAGCTTGAGTGGAAGTCCTGGAATGGGTGCTCTCATGGTGGACAGCTTGGTGATTATTTGTTGCACTTTCTTGTAAGCCTCTTGGCACTTCTCACTTCATTCGTACGGCTTGCCTTTCTTAAGCAATGGAGTAAAAGCACTCATGGTGGCAGCAAGACTTGGGATGAAGCGTGGAATATACGATAGTCTTCCCATAAAGCTTTTCAATTCTTTTGGGTTTCTAGGGGGTGCCAGGGAGTTGATGGCTCTAGTTTTTTCAGGATCCACATCTATGCCACGCTGGTGTACTTGAAACCCCAAGAATTTGCCGGATGAAACTCCAAACGCGCACTTCTTTGGATTCATCTTCAGCCCGTACAGCCAGCACCTTTCCAGACTTCTTAATGGCTGATAGGATTTTTAGTACCTGCGCAAACAGGGTTAAAATCACTGAAAATACTTGCAAGAATACAAGGTAATTGTAGTATAAATGCTCATGCAAGGTCGTTGTCCCCAAAGATTGTTTGACTAATCTGTAATTAAACTAACTCTTAATTAATAACTAAAATAGATTTTATCAAAGATTTGAAGTTTATGAATTTGAAAAAGATTAAACTAACAGTAAAAGAAATCTGAAAGTTGGGAAATAATAACAGCAAAGAAGAAAAACCATTTCTTTTTAAAGACTAACAATTTAGAGAAAACTAGGGTTTAGCCAACACCATCGCAATCCTATGCAATTCTATCAATTACTTATGAATTTCCACATATATGCTTTGAAGGTTAGGTTTTCCTAATGCATATTTTCCTTGTGATGTTCAAGCGAAAACGTATATCTAACATGCAATCCGTCTGTGATGTTCAGATCAAATATAAACATGCAAGACTCATTAAGCTTTGTGAAAACCCTTTGAAAAACCATGCAACCCTTAAGAGCGTGATGTTCGCCTTAAGTGAACTTACAATTACTAATCACAAGAAGCCCTCCTCAATTTCAGGGTGATGTTCCAACAGAAATTGCATCAAATTACTTGTCTACATATCCTAATGGTGATCAATCATTAAAATAGATAGATAGTTTTAAACACAGTGATTAATAATTCAAAGCAAACATGCATCCATTCACAAGCAAATTAATAAAACTACATATTCATGCTAAGGCTTACGGCCTCGCCCTAGCAAAAGGAATTAGTTACACATAATCATAATTGAAATCCAAGAAAATATAATTCGAATGAGTAAGAATGAAAACACCTCAAAGTAGCGAAAATCCAAAACCCTAGCAATTGCT